GACCACACCCATCAGACTTGGGACTGCCTCCTAGCAACCTCTTGGCCCTGTCTTACCATGCTCCTTCGTCACCCCAAATTGGAGGGAAACAAGCCCAAATGACTCGGATACGCATGGCGAAGATCGTGACCGTCTTACCCGGAATGGAGGAAGGGTCAGCATTTGGCCCCGCAAACCTGGCTGGCCTTCCCGCCCTCCAGCAGACCTCGCGGGGCGCAGGGGGCGCTTTGCGTTGGGCCCCCTTTAAAACAACCTCGAAAGGCATATGCCAGGAGCCGGAATGGTTCAGGGGCAAGATTGGCTCCTTCTTCCTTCCAAAAAGGGTCCCCTCTGGAGCAAGCAAGCAACCTTCGCAGGTCGCCTTGACTCTTGCCTTCGGCGAAGTGAGATTTCACCCTGATGCTGGTGGTTGGAAGGGCTCCAAGGAGCTTATGAACAAATTTGCCTTTGAAGAGGCAGCCGGACTCGGAGCTGCCGGTCGGAGTTCTGTCAGGACTCAACGTGAGGGCTGAAGGAGAAGTAGCTTGGCTGTCACGCTCCCGAGATGGCAGGTGCGAATGTGCTCCCAGTCCAAAAAAAACAACGCTGGATGCCTCCGTGTGGTTTGGTGCCGTTGCCCGACAACATGTGCTTCCAGCCAACCAGTTCGGGTTTTAGTGGTTTTTAGGTGGTTGAGTGGTTGCGTTTCAACGAATCTAATCCAGAAGTTAGCCACTAAAACAGCAGATCGGACCTGTTGGATTGGAGTATGTTCTGCGGCAGGCGCTGTGGACCCTCGACTGAAACAAAAAAAGGCAACATGTCTTCCATGCAACAGGTTTGGAGCGACACATGTACCATGAAGCTCCTGTTGCCCATAGCCCCAATGGAAATCCTGCTGGTCCAGCCCCCCAAGGATCCATGACCGTCCCTGGTACTTCGCACCGAAGATCAATCAACCGAGATCAACTGAGTCAATGCTTTGTTCGGGGACCCCCCAAAATGGCATCGGTTTTCCTTTCTGGCGTCCCTTTGAAGCCCAAAAACGGGTTCTCTCCAAAAAAAAGCTGACACTGCCATTCGGGATCTGGGTTGCCGCGCCCACGTACTGCATGGCCGGGTACTCTGCCGCCTTCTCCCGGTATTCGTCGTACCAGGCGAGCACCGCGCGCGCCTCATCAACTACCCCTTTCACAAGGGGGACCAACATGTCCCTAACCAGAACTCCCATCAGTACCTCCGAGTCCGGCTCCCTCTTAAGCAAAATTTGGAATGCCCTTAGCTCCGTAAGAGCTCCCTTCCAACCACCAGCTAGACTTGGGCCTAAAACCTTCGGCTCCAAACACGTCAAGACCCACCGGTGCGCGCGGCGTAACCTATGAACCGAGACTGCACCCAGGTGAACATCGGCTTGACGGCTATTCCAAGGCGACGGGAGATCTGCCATCCAGGGTCTTCCAAACAGGGGATGCTGTAGGTTGGGGCCCAAATGCTTAGTGTAGATCAGACATCTGGATTAAGTTCCTGGCAAAAACGACTCGGCTTGCTCACTTAACGTAAAGGGTCCAAGCAGGACATCCAGTGTGAGGTGTCTGCGGATGCCCTAAAAAGGAAGATATCGCTCGAGGAAAGAAACCTTCCCAACACCAGCCCTGCTTCCACAAGTGGTTTCCGCATCCTTCCTGAACTCCCAGAGAACTCAGACTATCATGTCCTTAGAAGAATTCTTGGTAGCTCCTTAGCTTTTTCTTTAAGGGCAAGATTGGAAGCTCAGTAAGCAAAGTCAGAAGGTTGCCACAGGAACTGCGCAGTTTGCCATCGCATTGTCAACACCGCCGTTGTCCATGTGAAAAGAAAATGTCAGGACTCTGATCACGCGTTATATTGTTGGGCCGCAACTAGCCACCCTTCCATTTGCCGCTCCACCAGGAATGGCTAAAATACGATCCAGGGCGGTTCACTCACATGGAAACGAAACCGTGCCACCGTGCCCCAACTCCGTGCCGGCCTTGTTCTTCATGCTGTCCAGGGCAGACTCCGCGTAGTTCTTCTTGGTCCGCGGATCCTCCGGCCTGCCGGAGCGAAACCGAAGCGAAACCAGCTAGCGCGGCCCTCCCTGACAGGGACAACACTTCACCCGGCACCCGGAAAGCTGCACAAACCCGCAAAGAAACTGAAGCAAGGGAGACCCAAAAGAGCTTGCGCCGATGAAATACGCTCCAGTGGGTCGACCATCATTCTTAGAAGCGTGAAAACCAAAACTAGGGGCCTTCCAATTCATCTGAAAAGGTCCTTTCAAAACCGCCACCCGCAAAAGCGGTCCTTTCCGCATCTTGTGGACACAAACAAATGTCGCCCAAGTTTGCCTCGCGCGGGTGGTTGATTCAGTGTTCCGGCTTCCTGTCAAACAAAAATATGCAAAGTCTATCTGGATGTGCGGGCTTGGGCAAAGTGGTCCAGGCTCTATCTTGGGCCGGCCACCGCATGCTTCCCCTCTCGCAGATCCGATTTATTCATCCGCATCTGGACAATGCCATATGCTGTGTTCACTTTCAACAACCAACAAATGCCAAACAGGCTTGAGACCATTCACCAATCGCTGATGAACCATAAACACAGCAAAAAGAAGAAAAAAAAGATAGTCAGCACAATTCGCAACAGCAGACTCTAGGAGAAAAAGCATGCCCGTTCTCGAAGGTCCCAAGCAAAAGGGTTCAGTGCAAATGTCGCCCAAACAGTTTCGCCACGTCCGACCCTCCATACAATACCATGTGCATGGAAAACTCCTACGGTTGAGTCAACAGTAGTAGCCTTAGCTCCCTCTTTCAAGGCAAACTTGGATACCCTCAGCTTCGTTTCTGGCTCCCTGCCAGCTCCAATCTTGCACCCCGTGCGATTCGAGGCGCTTTCGCCACATGTGCGCGACGTAGGCGTTGGAGAGGGAGACGATCTCGCCACCGCAGAGCCATGATCTCAGCGACCTTGGGTGAAGCCATGGTTGAAACCAGTCTTTGGTGCTTACGTTGGGGGAAATCAGTCATTCCGGTTGGTCTCTGCACGCAAGGAATTCGCAACCATACACAGTGCACCTGGCCACGGCTACCCCAACCTCGGCCCTATGGGACTCGAGATGGGTTTGCGAACACTCGATGGGCTCAGGGCTGGTCAACGTTCTCGCCGCCCCAGCCAGACATGCCGTCATCGTAGCCTGCGATTTGCACTGAATGGAAGTACAGGTAGACACGCCATCACACCATCCAAACTAACTGGAGACAACACACCAGCCCACCTCAGCCCATCACCCCCATTGCACTAAAATCACAAGATGTCCACATGACAATTGTTTTACACCGATTTCCCTTAAGGAAATCAACACATCAGTGAACAAGTGGCAGGCTCTCCATGCACATGGCGATGCTTGCCATCTGCCGGAGCATCTGCAATGCCACTTCACTAGCCGCGAAATCCGCATCCAACATCAAATCTGAAGGGCACTTTCACCACAGTGATGGTTGAAAAATACTTCAAGAAGTCCTTGCACTCCATGTAGAACTGGCCATCTTTGGGCATGCCTTCCTTGCCGTCCGTCTCCTTGATCTTCTCCCAGTCGAAGAGCTCCCGAAATCTGGCCACTTGATTGTGCCGCTGGTTGGCCATCCAACTCTGCCAGTCGTGGTTCGACCACTTCCCCTTCCATTCAAACCAGCCCCAAGGATTTCGAAGCTCCACCAAGTGGATCTCCGTGTCCTCATGGCTCAAAATTGAGGCAGGGCAAACCGCAGGCTTTGGTCTTTGGTTCCATTTACCAGGGTGCCATTTTGCTACATCGTTTTGACCCACAGCCTCATAGATCGAATGGATGCCAAGGATGGAGTATGCATGGTGACCCACAAGGCCCAACTTCTCTTTGTCTGCTGGAGACGCTGTGCAAGAGACCACCATCATTCGTTGAGCCTTGTGTCTCATCCACCGGAGGTAGTCTGACACCTGCTTGCCAAAAGAATGGCTGCTTCCCGCCCAAGGCTGCCGAGACGGGAAACCCAAAATGGTCAACCCCCCCCCCCCCGCCCCGGCACCTTTACAAGCGAAGCGGATATGTTTTTGACCACTACCCCCCTCCCGGGGATGTGTCGACTTAGGTGACCCAAACATGAAGTTCGGTTCTCATGTTGGTCTTCCTTATTATTGCCCATCCCCCCCTCCGGTGTCCCCCTAAAATTGCTTGTTTGACTTTAGTCTCTCCTTTGAATACAAAACTAAACAGGGGTCCAGCATTGGGGCAGGTGTCAAAATAGTGGCTTTCCTGTTGGTTCCCGTTGAAACAACTCCAAACAAGGGAACCAACTCCAAAATAAGCACATAATCCTTTTGACCCCCCACCTTGGTTTCGGTTTTCAGCTCCTTGCCGAGGGTCATCCAATACCACGGCCCCCCCGTGAGCGCCATCAGCAGGCCTCCGTAGCCAACCGGTTTGCCTCCTCCGGGAAGGGGTCCCTGGGTGGAGCGAATCCGTTGTTATACTGTTCCGGGGCGGTGTCCCTCAGCCAGAAGTTCCAAATCCCACCAGCAATCCAAATAAATAAATAAATGAATAAATGAATAAACAAACAAATGGCCCTGTCCTCCACCACCCACCATCAACGAATACGAGCCATGTAGCTTTGCCAAGGCTTTTTCCAGTAGCATGGGCCACAGCTCCTGGTGGTCCCTAGAATTCGCGCAGGCCGTCCTGCCGCGCTCATCTCGGGGGAAGATGGAGTCCACGATGATCCAAGCCCAACGAACGTCTTTGGGCTTCGACTCTGAGCATTGACAGCACACACGAACCGCATAACCTTGGTTGACGTTGAAAGTGGAGCAAAAATCTAAATTTTAGCAGTTAAGTGGGGATTTCCCACTAAACCACAATAAGCAAAAAAATATAAATTTTGTCCCAACAATAACCGAGTAACATCCGCTTGGAGAAAATGTGTTGGGATAGATGGCTCGTTCAATCAGCTGGGGCCAAAGGGCAACCGTCGCAATGGTCGACACCATCCAGCAATTTCCAATGTAGCCCTGCATGATGTCGTTGGGTTCGACTCCTTCACTAAAGACCTTCATGTCTGAACAGTTTTGAGGAATACCCCAAGTGTTGTCACTGTGAAGGAAGCCTTTCCTTTGCGTGGTGCGGTCCACATAGCGGGTTTCTCCCAGCGTCTCATTGATGTAGTCAACAATCGCTGGGCCATCTGTGAAGTACACATCATCCGGGTGCTGCGGGTCTGCACGACGACTGAAAAGGAACTGCTTCACGCCTTCGGCATGTTCCTGTTTGTCGATGTAGCTCTGGATCTCCTATGGGTGAATACTGTGGATGGAAACGCGAAATCCATAAACCGCACCACTTCGAAGCCATGGGAAAGCATAACGTCGGTCAGTATTCACAAGGGAATCGAATCATTCCAGGGTTTCTTAAGTGGTGCGAAATGGATTTCGGCCATCCACAGTATGAATCATCCAAAACTGGGCTTATTAAAAGTCTGTAAGCATCCCGATCTCATCTATCCCGCTCATTGGCATGTGACTCCCTAGGATCACTCGAGTGACTTATTCTTACTTGACCCACCTCGTCGTCATAGTCCACGATACCATCCCATTCGTCCAGGCACAGGCGATCATAGGGCTCATATGCTTGGCCGCGCACCCGCTCACGGAGCTTCACACGCCGGAGCTCACCGCTGGCGGGACCATACCATGGATACTGCTCGAAAATATCCATGTACTTCCGGTCGATCTCCACTTGAGGGGTGTTGACTGTGATGTCCATGCGGGCAACGACAGCGGCTCCCACGGGAAACGAGACGTTCCAAGTGGCATCAACCACTTTGTTCATGGCTCTCACCTTCGGCGGCAAAGCTTTGAAAGCCGTGTAGACTTCTTCAGCTGCGCCCATGGCACCATCGAAATCCGCGTCGAAGTCAGCCACAGAGTCAAAGCCCTTTGCGAGATCCAGCCATGCCATTAGCTGCTCTTTGTCCTCTTCGCTCAGATCAAGATCTTTGTCGTAGTCCGCGTTCTCCTCCGGCGGCCCCTTGAGTTGGCTTTCCACGACCTCCATCTGGGCGCTGCAATCATCTTCCGCTGGCTTCTCCAAGGCTGAGACGGCGGACCTTGGAATGACGCTCGGCTTGCCGAACTCGTCCATCTCCGGCTGGACATCAACGGGGGCTTGGGCGCCTTCGGTCCCGGCGGAGGCACCACAACCCATCTTGGCCAAGGCCTCCGAAGCTCAGATGGCCATGGGCGGTCAGTGGTGGTCGCTGGCTTTCGTGTGAAATCAGGCTCCTTAAGTCAAAACATCCCTTTTGGACAATGCGTATTGATGAGGGGTGCGTTGGCTCAGTACGCATTCAACCTTTTGAACCTTTTGCGTACAGGTTGGTAGCAAAAGAACAAAGTGATTTGCAGTGTAGGATCTGCTTCAAATGGCTGAGGCAGCAAGATGAACCAAGATAACTATGTCAAAGCCATCTTCTCTCAAAATCGTCATGTGACATCTTGCCGGCATGTAGCAAGACAACGCAGCTCCAATGTGGGGCACGCCTTCTTACCCCCCCACCACCCACCCACCACCCACCCCCAACCCCACCCACCGCCAACTCCCAACGCGCCAACTGCCTCCGGTCTCGTTCCACCACCTCCGGGAGATGCCCAGAAGCCCACCAGAGAGCACCGGCATGAAGGGCGAGGCGCTTTCCTGGCGGCGAATCTCTTTTCCGCCGAACCCAACCGGGGGAGAAAACCGGTTTTTTGAGATGGGAGTGGAAGCGATTCGTGGTGGTTTCGAGAAACAAAAAAAAACTGACTCTCGGTTGCTTTTGATCTTTAAAAAAACAAATGGGACACAGCAAGTTGGCCGCTGGTCCGTCCATGTTGGAGTGACAGACCGGTTGGCCCTCGCAAGATGCGGCAGGATTTGGGTGCTTTGGACGCATTGGGACTGGTTTGGAAGTGTTGGGATATTTGGATGACACGGGATTTAATGCAGTCTGTTTCCAAAATGTAGCTCGTCCGCAGGATCGTCGACGACGGACATGCCACAATTCCGATCTGGACTCTTCATGGCTTGGTTACGGGTACCTGGATCGGTTTGGACAGTTGAATGCATGCGGATGGGTGCACCAGGGTTACCACTGTCCGTTCATAGTAGGGCAAGGGACCCTGTGTTGAATGCTATCGAGCACTTTGCGAGTGGAACGGCCAGCTGGCTTTTGCGAATGGAGTCGTCACCACACCGTTTTCCAAAGGGCCTCCTTGCTCCTTTCGGGCTTCGAGTGCCAAGTCGAGCCCAATCAAACTGCGGCACTTCTCTTCACGGCTCAAGGACACAGCTTTTCCATCGGCGGCTTGTTGCACTCCGCATGGGAGAGGGCGAAACGGCCTTTTGTCTTCGTGCTTGACGCGACTGCCAGAGTACTGGCGAAGAGGAAACCCTTCAGCCCTCACAGCCGAGCTTCGACCCACTTGAAGTCGGCATCCCAAGTGAGGTAGCCTCAGCCGCGGAGAGACGGGGAAGCGATGAGAGTGGTTAGGCTTGATTTCAAGATTAGGGGTATGGTGGGGGCTGGGAGGCAGGGGGGCATAATAAGGTCTCATTCCAGGCTTCATTAAGGGCTCCCTCCATCCCCCCCCGCCCGGCCCCAGGTCGATGGTTCCTTTTGGGTTTCCTGGGCCCGAAAACCCCGCCGGACGCTGAGGGAACCGGGCCTCTTTGCCCATCTGAAGATGTTGAACTATTCAATCCCAAGATGTCAATCAGAAATAGGTTAAAAGTTAAGAAGCTTCGACCAAAGAACATTCAAGTTTCAGATGAGTCTTCTGTGCTCTTCCATTTCATGATTCATTTCACGTTAGGCAAAGTGACTGCTTCTTAACGGCTGCCCTCCAGGATTGTAGCTGGGTGACAAAATGATTACATCGGCGAGTATTATGCACTGTATCTATTCACCTCTCTCATGTATGTATGTATGTATGTATGTCTGTCTGTCTGTCTGTCTGTCTGTCGGTCGGTCGGTCTGTCTGTCTGTCTGTCTGCCTGCCTGCCTGCCTGCCTGCCTGCCTGCCTGCCTGTCTGTCTGTCTGTCTGCCTGCCTGCCTGCCTGCCTGCCTGCCTGCCTGCCTGCCTGCCTGCCTGTCTGTATGTAGGTAGGTATGTATGTATGTATGTGTTGCATGTACGTAGGTCGTGCGAATGTGTGTATGCGTGTATGTGTGTATGTACGTGTGTGTGTGTGTGTATTGTATTGTATTTTATTGTATTGTATTGTATTGTATTGTATTGTATTGTATTGTGTTGTATTGGATTCTATAGAATCTATTGTATTTGTATTTGTATTTGTATTTGTATTTGTATTTGTATTTGCAGTTGTATTTGTATTTGTATTGTATTGTATTGTACTGTAGTGTACTGTATTGTATTGTATTGTATGTATGTATGTGCGTCCGTATGTATGCATGCATGCATGTATGCATGCACATGCTGCATGCATGCATGCATGCATAGATATATACATGTATATATATATATATTATATATATATATTGATATACGTATATACAAATGTGACTGTGGAAATATACACGCATTCAGTTGTGCATATGCCAAATTGAACATATACATACACCACGTGCAAGCAAATACATATTGTATGGACACTCAATTACACTACCTCGCTTTGCATTGCATTGCCTTGCGTTACACTACATTGCATCAAATTGTATGTTATTTCTATTTCTCTGTCAGCATATCTGTATGTCTGCAACAGCCTTACGAGTTCCTCTCTTGAAAAGCAAGGCCTTTACAAACGCATCTGCCAGGGCACACTTTGCCAAGCCCTGGTTGCGCTCGGTCTCCTTCCAGGTATCAATATCCAGGTTGGTGATGACCTCAGAGTGCCGGTGGTGCTGCCTTCCTTGAATGACAGGAGAGTGTCTCCCATGGTTTCGCGAAGGCAGTTCCCCAGAGGTTTCCGGCCCTTGCATCGTAAGCGCAAACTGGGCTGTCATCAGATCCCCTGCCAAAAGTGACTAACTTTTAGTGGATGAAATCGGGAAACCCAACCACTAAACCACCTAAAAGCCCACTAAAAGCCTTTAATGGAACCGGGTGGCTAGGAACCACCAAACCACCAAAGAGATCGCCACCCTCCGTTGCATGCTTCGGGCTTCGCCGCAGTCCGGCCAAAACGGCGCGGTTGTTGGGGGCCCCAACCGGCATCACGATGCGGCGGTAGTTCTGTGCCACGGAGTCCAGGAACTGTCGGTACCAGTCATCCTGCGATCGGCTCCCTGAACAAAATCCTTTGGGGTTTGGTGCCAAGTGGTGGTTTTGGGGACTTGGGTGGACTTCATGGAACCCACCCCATCATCTGGAAGCTGTTGGCAGCGAAAATTTATTGAAGCTGCCCCTTGACGTCGGACCCAAAAAAAAGGAAAAAGAAGCCGGGAGGATGTTTTGTTCCTCAAGACGAGAAGGTCAAGAGGGGAGTGCTGGTGGTTTTCCGGTCCGTTTCTCCAGGTGTGTTCCCAGCAAGTGGCAGCCCGTTTCAGGTACCAATGTGATGCTCTAACAGCAAGGAATGGCAATGACTCAACTGTGACTGTCCTCTGAATGCAAAGGAACCGGAAGGGAGGCAGGCCAAACAGTGCGGCAAGAGGAGACACTGCATCAACTGCATTAGCTCGCAACACATCCCACTCGGTGCTACATCCTGTGAATCAAGTATCCCCCGTACCGGGGGTGGGGGGTCCCCCAATTCGATTTATCTAGTGTTCCCCACAAAAGGCAAACAAATGGAACCACAAATGAAATTTGAGGTGTCACCCCCCGTTCCCCAATTCCCTTTTTTAAGGGACCCGCTGGGGATATGCAGCAAAGTCCATCTCCGCATCCGCCTGCGGCGCCACGTGGCAGTCGAAGAAGACGATGACGTCCCCGCGCGCCTCGGCTGCTCCTGGGCATAGTGTGCGCCTTTGGTGGGCTCGCTTGCGTTGCAGTCTCCCTAAAGTCAGGCCTCCTTTTGGGAAGAAAGTTGCAGCCCATTCATTTGGTTGAAGCTCATCCATGGTTTTGTTGCGTGGACGTCACACTTGGAGCACCCAGTTCTGACACAGCCATTGGTCATTGGTCAGCTCCACTTGCCTCGAGCCTTCAAAGAGTCAGCAACTCAATAAGCCAGTGGATCAGGCAGTGAGAAGGTGCCTTTCGGTGCAGAAAATGGCTGTTCGGAGCACCCCTCGAAAAACAATACTTGGAACAAAAAAAAGTGATTGCCCCAGCCACAATCCCTGGATAGGATGCCAGTGCCTCGGGGGGGTCTCTCTTTTTATCGTGTTGGAACCCGCGTCCGAGCACCGTTGCGTCTGCCAGGAGGAACGGCCGGGCTCAGACTCGCTGTTCCTTTTGACAAGGATCATGTTTAGCACGCTGAATCACTCAATCACGTCATCTCGCGAGAATTTGGCAAGCCCCAAATTAGAGGACCCCTGGCAAAAGATTGCCTTCTGAATGGTTTCCCTTGAAAACCATCCCGAAAAGCGAAGTCAAAACTCTCAATTTGAGGGAGCATCAATGAACTGCTCATTGAAACAGCCCGATATCGGTCTACAGTGGCCGAAAAAATGGTGTCCCTTTACCCTGGACACCGGAGGTTAGGTTGAACCTGGCCATCTTTCCCTCTCCAACGCCTCTTGAAAATTTGGGGAGGCCAAAACGACTGGGAACACTTGCCCCAACGACTGAGGAACACTTGCCCCCTCCCCAAGTATTGCACGCACAACCAAGAACACTGTGATTTCTTTTCAAGGGTATCTTTTTTGGCTCCCAAATATTGGAACATGAGTTGAATGTCCCACAAGTCAGCTTCCCTCCAATGTGGTTTCCCATCTACCCGTTACAAAAGCTAGGAGTTCTTCTGACCCCCCCACCATCCAAACCACCAATAAACGGTATCGTGGGCTGTCCGTTTTCAGATCCCCGGCTAACAGTGACTGACTTTCAGTGGGTCAAATCGGGAAACCCAACCACTAACCCTGCAACCAACCAAGAAACCACCAAAAACCTGCAACCCGCCCAAAAAACCACCAAAAACCTGCAACCCATCAAAAAAAACTAAAAACCTGCAACCCACCAAAAAAAACACTAAAAGCCTGCAACCCACCAAAAAAAACTAAAAACCTGCAACCCACCACAAAACCACTTAAAGCCTCTAAACCCGGGATGGGAAGCACCGAGACACGGGGTCGGAGCTCCGCGCCTGCGGACTTGGCGCCCATGAGGCCTATCGCCTCCTCGTGGCGCACCAGCGTCAGCGGATACCTCGGACATCGCTCTGCCCGGCCGAGGTCTCGTGGCACCCGTGCCCCCAGCGAGCGGAAGAAGAGAAAGGCAAGCGCCGGTGAACTTCGGAAGCCGGTTCGCCCTCAAAGGCGGTTCCCCCTAACCTCTGGGGTTCGGAATGCTGACGCCAATCAAAGACACTGAGGAGGCTACCAGAAAAGTACGGGAGGCTAGGAAGGCTACCAGAAGACCACGGAACGGCCAACTTCGGAATCCTGACGCCAATCAAAGGCGGTTCCCCCTCACCTGTGGGGAAGTCAGTCGCCGAGCCCTATGGGGAAAAGCCCAGCGGTAGGGCAAGCGCGAGGCCAGTGGGGAAAAGCATTCATGGGAACGTCCCCCGTCCGCGCCAAGGCTTTTGCCATTGCTTTAGCTAGAGAAGGGGGTGTGCATCCTCAGTCTTGTGGGTGCGGAGGTCCATTTGGATGCAAAAACACATGGATTGTGTAGTCAGTGCTTGGTGCGTTTCTGTGCCCCAGCTTCTTTGCAGGGTCTGTTCAGCAGGGCACTTGGAGGGGGCGGGGCACACCTTTTTTGGACTCGAAAACCGTAGCTTGTCACATTTGGTCTCGTGCCACGGCTTTGTCAAGAAGCATGCTTTGGTGCGCGGAGTTTCAATTTGACGTACTATGCTCCGCTGGCAAGGTGCACCTTGGGTGCGCCTTGGGATCCTCGGGGCATGAAACAGGTTTTCGGCCACCGACCACCTCCGAAAGCTCCACCCAGTTGAAAAACAATCCAAGCCCCCGTCTTTTAGTAATCCAATTTCATGGTTAAATAAGTCTAAATGCTTGTATATAATAGTTTCTGCTAATATCATTGTTAACATGCAATGCTTTTAATGAATCCCTGCACAAACAAAAAGGCCTCAACTCGGAGCAACGAAAACTCCCTCCCTTGCGAGCTGCTTCTTGCGGAACTTCTCCGTCAGAAAGTCCTGCAAGGGATCGGAAGCCAGTTCTCTGGAGGCCAAGTCTCTCACTCGCAACGCGACCGGGTCTTGGCAGCAACAGGAACTACCTGATGTACACGTCAACTAGGTCCTCCAGTAGAGAGGTTAGAATAAGGGTACCAACTTTTTGTCTGTAGTCTATTTTAGTAGGGGAACCCTCCCCAAAAAAAGAAACGGTAAAAGGGAACTACTGGGGGACCTAGTCAATGTGCGTATAACCAAACTTCTAGAAAATGCCGTGGCACTTGGCTCACAGGCAGATCCCCATGACTAGCTTTCGGCTTCTGGCAATTCTCCTCCGCTCGGTGGTCAAAGGGCCCCAAACCCTGAATTCTCCCCTCACACTTTTCGTCCAATGGACATCTTGCCTTAACCATCCATTACAAAAAGCCCTTCGTGTGCTCGCCCTCCAACTTTTGAGTCCTGACTGAGTGGCGGCGTGCTCCCATCATCCACCACCTCGGAAATGCCGCGCCGCGCATCAGTCAGGCGTTGAGATCTGTGCTGCGCCCTGCCGGAGGTCGGAGGCGCTAACATACCCCGGGTGCCTTCTGTTGAGGTTGGAATAGGGCCCAGGAAGCTCACTGGCACTACACTGCCCCGAATCCAGTGGCTCTACCTATGCCAGAGCACATCTTGGGGGGGGAGGAAAAAGCGCGCGCGATCTTCGTCCGGGATGCGCTCCTGGACGAAGCGCACGGCTCTGAACGTCAGCCGTTGTGAAATCATGGGGGCTGGGGGGGAGGGAGGGGAGGGAGAGGGAGCCCAAATAAGCCCACAAAAAGGCCTTATTCAGAGCTTAGTCAGGGCTTATTTGGGATCCCTCCCCATCCCCTCCCTCCCCATCCCCTCCCTCCCCATCCCCTCCCTCCCTCCCTCCCTCCCTCCCTCCCTCCCTCCCTCCCTCCCTCCCTCCCTCCCCCTCCCTCCCTCCCTCCCTCCCTCCCTCCCTCCCTCCCTCCCTCCCCCCCAGCCCCCATGATGAAACGCTCCTGAGGTTAGGGCGATGATCTCCTCCAGAATGCCGCCCCCGATGCCGCCCGGCACGGACTTGGCCACCGAGATCACGGTCCTCGGCGGCCAAAAGGCGCCGGACGCGACGCAGAAACGTGGCGGTCGTTCTAGAGGCGCGTCGTGCGAAAGGACCGGTTTTTCCGTAGTGATGTTCATAGGGACGCAAATACTTCCCCTCACTTAGGGTAAGTAAGTACAGAAGTGCCAAAAATGACTCCCAAAGACGATAGCATCAGTCTTCCCCTTCAGGCTAGCGGAATGCTGAGCCCCAAAATAAAGCAACTGCGCGTGGCGTTACTTTCATTCCTTGGCTGGCCCGGTCCACGAAACATGAGTGATTCTTGTCATGTCTATGTCTACTCTTCCATCCTGCTTGTGGATAAGGTTGAGTATCGAGCATCATCAGAAACAACAAATGAACAAGAACCTAGGAGAACAACAAAGCGACATAACAAGGGCAATGCTATCCTCTACCAAGCCACACGCTTTCTGTGGCTCAAATTTCAAGAGCTGGGGTTTCCATTTTTTGAGCCACAGCCCGTGTGAAAGCTCTCCCCCGCAAACCGAAACTCCTAGGGGGGGTTCACGTGACTGCGAGAAGCAAGGCAAACCGCCCTCAACGGAACCCACTGGCAGCCCACGATGGGAGTGTCTTTTTCAAGGTTGGACCGCAAAATACGGGTGTTCCCTTTGGTTTGCCTTGAAAACCAGCCAAAAGAGGGTACCCTCCAAGAAAGGCACACCCGTCAAACGCCCAACAAGAAAAAACAACCATTTGGGTGGAGAGAACAAAAATGGATGGGAGGAAAAACAGGCCACAACTTTCCAAAAAAGAAGATGAGAAAGAAGGAGCAATACGCTCATTCCATGTAGAAATGCCCCACGCCAAAACAAACAAACAAACAAAAAACGCGAGCATGTAGCCTACTCCTGTCTGCCTGTTCAAGCGCCACATGCCAAGAATTCCGAGGCGCTTCTTGGCGAAGAGGCCCTCCCCTGCACACGGCAGCACCACCGACAGGGTCTTGGGGTTCCAGCTCAGGCCTTCCTGTCCGTCTCAAGCGGCGACGTGGCTCAACATGTAAAGAGCTGGGGCTGGCTCCACTGGTTTTTATCTTCCATTTGCCAACATGGTTTTGAGACACAGCCAAGTGGCGACTTGGTCCAATCACCCAACCGACCCAAAGGCCCCAAGCCTCAAACCTGAATCTGAGAAAGTGTCTGTGGGATATGTTCAGACCCGCTTTGGGGAATGGTTTGAGAAGGATCCGAAAGGAAACAAAAGGCAGGCAGGGGGTGCCCCAGTTTGCAAGCTTCCCCAAGGCTTGGCATATTCATCGGGATCTTTTGCAGATGTTTTCGGGGAAAGGAAGGTAAGGCCAGCTTTTGCATGGCCTCAGGCCTCTAGGAAACATGTCTCAATTCCGAGGAGTGGGGGCCACTCTCCAACACCTGTCGTTAGCAAAAACAAAGCTCCCGCTTAAAGCGTCCCAAAACGTCTCGCGAAGAGATTTTTCCGAAATACTTGGCACAACCAGAGCCATTTGTCACACTGGGATCGGACACAAATCTGGAAACGAGCGAATGCTGGGTGAATTGATGGCTCCTCTCCAAAAACAGGGAGCCGACCTCCCGAAAAAAGAAACCGAGCTGGCTCCCTTTTGAGTCCTTCAAAACGGTGGGCACCGCCCAAATAAAGACACCCATTTGCAAAGGCTTCAAGCAACGACAGCTCCAAGCTGGCCCTTGGAAGGGCGAATACACACGCCACCAAGCGTTTGAAGCAATGTGACGCTGTTGCTGTCTCCCATGTCTCCTTGACCACTGGTCAAATCGAAATTTTGCCATGCTTGCGTACAAACAAAGTCATTTGATAAATGGCTCTTCTCATGCTGGGTAGCCGTGGCTTCCTGAACAAACTAATGTGTGGAATGTAGCAAAGCTCATCGATCGCTGGAAGAGATGCGATCTCTCTTTTCTGCTCAAGTGCAGTGTCAAGGTTAGCAATGCGGCCTGTGTCTGGGTGAGTTATTCTGCAAGAAGCAGCCCAGCCATGTCCCCAAGCGATGCAATGGAAATGGACCACGACTTCCCCTTCACGTAGCAAGCCGGAAGTGAAAAGCGCCTCACATCAACCATGATTGTACCGGTCTAGTTGACCGAGAGGAACAGTGCACCCAGTGATTCATCCGAAACACCAACCTGAAAAGGCAGTGCCACAGCGCACCAAGTGATTCACAAAAAAAAAAGTGAAAGGCCAGTGCGGAATCCCCATCCGCCCGTCCCACGCCCGCCTGAGCTGTTGCCTCTGCTTTTGGCGTCTCAGCCTTGGCCTGGCCCGCTTTGAGCCCCCAGGATTCGGAGGCCTTAAGCTACGGGAACCGGATCTCCGAGCGAGCGCCGCTGGCAGCCCGGGCTTCCGAAGGGAGGAGAGGAAGAGCTGGAAGCTAGGGGCTGCAGTCAACAACTAGCGGACACGTGCAGTCAGTTCGACGAGATGACGAAGGTCCCGTCCAGCCAGTAGATGCTTTCTCTGTCGTCACTACAACAGTAGTCGTGGGAATCCGAATTCTCCGCAAACTGCGAAACAATTTTGCGGGTCAAAAATCAATACCCAAACTTGCTCACCAATTGAATGGAGAAGCGTCGACTAAACCCCTGCGGTTTTGTTGAGGGCACTTGATTTTTTTTGCGGCCACACCGCTACTTGGTTGACGTTGGAAGGGGAGCAAAGACTTCAATCTTAGTTCAGTCAAGTGGTTGGACTTCAACCACTAAACCACAAGAAGCAAAAAAATGTAAGAGACGTTTCCCAACAACCACCATTGCTATGAGACCCCGGCGTTGCATCGCTCCCATGTCCGCGCCTCGCGGCCCGGAACCTCCTGGCCGAAGCCTGGAGCTCGCGAGCCGAATCCAAAGTCACTGTCCAAGTGGTAGGTAGGGAGACCAACCAGCTGAAGGCCTGAAGGCGACTTGAGAACCCCAAACCCTCGAAAGTTGAAATCAGGATCTCAGTTGCGACAAAATGACTTTGAGAACCTCAGTTGGGTCCCTTGTGAAACGGACATACAACACAGTGCGCTCGGGGTGCTGTGTTGTTGTGTGTTGTTGTTTTTGTTGCTCTGAGTGGTGCGCTAGCCCAAATGTTTCCTGAAAACGGGGCCCGGACTGACACTTGACCTATGCGGCTCGACATCCTATGTCCAGGTGCTGCCAAGCCCGCAGGCTCTTTGCAGGATCTTTGCGGGACACAGAAGAATGCAAAAAGCATCGTCTCGTTGCAGAGACCTTCCGATTGCCCTGCCAATGCAAATGGTCAGCATGCTTCGCGAGCGCACCTACGCTAAGGGACTGAGGACTGAGGACTGAGGACAAACAGGAAAAACAAACACGCCTTGGCTTGTGAAGCTGCTCCGTCTCCGAACGGCCCATTCTACCCCATGCCCCACCTCCAGCGAGCAGCCCCAGAACAGGCACCTTGGGAGTTTGATCCCTGGCTCGCATACCCCTGCAATGAGCCTCGTTTGGATTCTCGGAAACGGGGATGTGCCACAAAGCACGTGAAAGCTAAGCATGGCTGCTGGAATCGACTCGATTCCAAAAGCAAACGCAACAACCAAACGCGAAAACCTTGCGCATATCGCATCGCTCCTGGCGACCGCACGTCACTTGCTCCGCCATCAACTTATACCAAAATCACTTGCCACCCATCCGCCTGAACATAAGGTAAGCAAAATAGGCACAGCTGCCACATCGAGTTAATGTGCTCCAAGGTCAGGGCAAGCACAACGCCGGAAACAAGAACAACAACACAAACAATGCAACAAGTGGCTATAGATCCACTAAGGCAAACAAAACCTCGAAATGCACGAGAAATGCTGCAGAGGCGCCAGGATCGCACCGGCGGCTAGGAGCCATTTGGCGCTTCCGCCGTTGCCGCCACTTCCGCCTTCGCCGGCCTGTCAAGCTTCCATGACGGCTGTCCAAACCGAAAGGGCGGCCCAGTCCCACCAGGGAGATGTTCTCGCAGCTGACTAACTCAAATAGTGCAAAAAGGAAGTCCCGAAACGAAGGATGTCTCCATCTTGGAAACTGGTGCGACTTCTCAAAATGCTCGAAACAAGGACTTCGCCTTTTTGAAGCGCCCTATGAAAGGGAGGCTAGCCAAGGCAAACTGGGATCCAAATGTGGCGGTTGATCATAGATTGGAAAACCACAAAATCGATGATATTTCAACCAGTCGATCTCAACCCCCACGTGAAATAGGGGAACCACAAGAACTGGTAGGTTGTCCCTTGGCCTTTGCCTTTCATCCGGCCTGAACGCCCCACTACAGTCACACCTATAGGATTCTCCATGCGTCGACCCCACCTTGGCCTCGGCTTTGGGCTTGCCTTTGGCCTCCGGCCGAGGCACTGAGGCTCCAAAGAAGGTGACAGGGAGAGGTGCCATTCGGGGCTCTCTGTTTTTAGGTTTTCCTTTGGGTGGCCCGCTTTTCAAAACCTGTGCGCTTTTGAAACTCCGGCGCAACAAAAAACAACGTCCAACTCGCCCTTCCTGCCACTATCGCCACGGTACCTGTCAAACAGGTGCCCGGAAGATCAAGTTCCTTTTGAAGGGACACCAACTGGCAGGCGCCACACGTGGGGAGGCTCCTCCAACTTGCCAAGCTTGACTCAGCGAGGGCCCTGGCTTTTCTTTGCCAACGACTGCGCCCGCCAGCCTTCGCCTTGGCCATGAGCCCTTGGCAGCCAACCCCCACCGCGAGAGCCCTCTGTCCAACAAACCAAAGCGCTTGCATAAGGGCTTGTGATTTTTGATGTTGTTGCTTTTGTTTTCTTTTCCCCGGAAATGTTCCTGGTCAAGGCCGAAGCGTGCATGCCCAGGGGCACTTAGCTCAAGTTGAGAGTTTGAGCTAAGCCGCTTAGCCCAATCCAACGAGTATGCTCAAAGAGATCCAGCAAACATTGGCTGTCACGCCCTTGGTCTATCAGGAGCCATCCAATTGAAGGCCCTTCAATGGGCAGCGTCAGCAAGGAACACTTCATAGAGGCATGCCGGGTAGCTTGAAAGGAAGGCAACGGCAAGATGGCAAGATGTCGTTGAAAGACTGCCACTGCAACTGCAAATGCAAAAGGTCTTAGGCATAACGCATCTGGCAAAGCGCAGCCCCCTCGAACAAAGCGCAGCCTCAAAGAGCAGACTTACAAGAGGTTGCCCAGGTTGGTCGCGAAAATTGCACGCCAGCCCCGGCAACAAGCAAATGGCAAATGGTTGGTTTACCTGTGCTTATCTCTAACAACCAAGCGTAAAGGGGTGGCCCAGACACACCCTCTGCGTTTCACATGTGCGGATCTGCCAGGTCAGCCTGCGTTCCATATACTCCGCCATTGGTGCAATCCGGGCGAGCGTGCTGACCTGCAAATGTTAAGCCTGAAGCTCGAGATCGTTCGTTGGTTGAGTGGTCACACCAAAAAGCAACCAAGCTGGCTGAACGGCCCACCCTGTCCGAGTAGCGTTGATGGGGAAGGAACTATTTGTCTTGCTGAAATTTGACACCCCGCAGCAGTCAACAGAGTGGCATGTTTGGAGTGCCCAGTCAATGTTGCAAGGTGTAGATATCATTGTTTGGCTAGTGCTTATTCCATGCCTTTGTCTCAATGTGATTGGTTGATTGTGGTGTTTGCGACATGCTGGTCCATAGTGAAATACATAAAATACTCAAACATGGTTTGTCCAAAGTTCGACGCTGTTCAGGCGCGCCATGTTTCTGGAAACTGTGGAGTGGTCCTGCTACATTGGGCAACACAAATGGCCCGATCAAAGGATAAACAGCACTGACCCGTGGCCGACAAAAGAACTATCCCACACGGAAGAGTTTGCCTGTATTGTCAGGTGCCTGGGCTGTCCTAAGATTCCTTAAAGTCTAAAAATTATCGTGGGTTAAATGGAAACCCAACCACAAAACCAAGTAAAAACAAAGGCCCAAGGATCCGGATGGCAGAGGCTTTGGCCCGACGAGCTGAGCGCTCAGCTGAGCGCGTCTCAGGCAGCTTCCATTGCTCAATCGCAACTCTGCCAAAGAAACCCGGGCTGTCAGACCCCCGGCAAAAAGCTTACTTTGAACCCCAACCACTAAAACCCTAAAAAAATATCAACAGCTTTTAGGCAATGGCTGAGAGCCACCAAGAAACAAGCCGCGGTGTCACCGGCTTCTCTAAAAGCTTCAGGCTAAAGGGATTCTATGTGACCTGGGCTTCATCTTGGGGCCTTCTCAAAGTCAGAGGCCTGTTCCGGGGCGCCGCTCAAACCCAAAAGCGCAAGCCTTTTGGAGAAGATCCTCACGCTGCCCGAACCTGGTCTGGGATTTCAGGCTCTCTGGCCACTGCCGTTTCGCGGATAACGTCGCCTTCCCGGCTCTCTGTTTCTCCTGTCTAAGCTGTGATCCGAGTGCCGTGCGATTTCCGCTCCCCGCACCGCCGGCCCATGGAAAAGGCTCGGCTTCCCGACCCTTGGCATAGCTTTAGCCAGTGCCAAGTAGTGTCTTGGGATGAACCACTGAAGCCACGCTCACATAGGAACCACCAGCTAGAACCAGTTTGGGAGCTGACATCCTGAGAGAGGTGCAAATATGGCACTCGGCCCGATTTCGGGCTGGACTATCCCATGTTTTGATGCCTCCGGTGAAAAAAAGGCAAGCTGTCAGTGATTAATCTTTCAAGAACAGGTGTCCTTTTTGCCAACCTTAGAGGGAAACGCTTCTGCACATAGCAAACGGACGTAGAAACCTGCTGCCCCAGGTCCATTCTTGAGAGGTGGGCCCCTAACTGTGGCTGCCCCCCCCAAGCAGCACACCATATGGTTATGATTGTTTTTACGGGGGGCCTTTGGTGGACACCATTCAGGCGGGGATAGAAAGGTCCATCAACCACTTGATGGTTCCAACTCTTAAAATGCATGGGTCAAAATTGAACCACCAGAATATGGGCCGCAGGTTTTAGTCCTTGGATCCACCTACCGATCGGGCAACCCATTTTGAGTACCTTTTCTTGACCCGCAGCCATAGATGGGGAACCTGCAAAACCGCTTCCCGCGCGATCCCTTCCGTCCCTTGTGGCCAGGCCCTCAGGCCGCGGCCATTCAACCTGACCGACGACTGAGAAATCCAAAACTTGCCGGTGCGTTTAAAGGAAATTACCAGGATGGTTGAAAAAGGCATCATTCCAATTCACTCCGCCAGAACCTGCCCGAGAGTGGATGGAGCGGCAAGTGAAACTAGTGGGCACCCGTTGCCGAACTTGATCACCACAGAGCAGAGAGAAGCAAAAATATAGATTTCATTGCGCCTTTGTTCTGAAGATACACGGGGTGTCCCAAACGTTCCTCAGAATGCCCTTTCATATGGTGTCACAATGGTGTCAGAAAGACAAAAAAAATCCACTGGTTCAGGGAGGCTGTGGCACGATGGCAGCGCGCCCCCCGTTCGGGGGCTCAAATCCTAGCTGCCTCAATCTTAGCAGCAACATAATAAGCTCCCTGGATGCCACGCAAGAAACTGGGGCTGGTTCTCAGTGGATGGGCGAAATCCGCTCGCACCAGCGTTCAGAAACGCTTCCAAGTGGGGCGAATTGGATTTCGTCCATCCACCGCATGGAAGAGGCGATGCAACAACCCCCGCACTAGGAAACGGTTTCAGTGTATGCGCTTTCAGTATGTGCAATATTCAGACCATGGAAAGTGAAAGCGAGCCTACTTCCGGGATGCCTTCTAAAAAAGAAGAAACGACAGACCTGAAATAATAAGACGGAAAGGAAAGAAAGAAAGAACACAACAAAGAAATAGGCAAGGAAACACTGCAGGGTGTGGCTTGCGCTGGTCAAGCGGAATCCGCCTCAACGGAGTCGCCAGAGGCTGACCATAGCCTCCGGATGAAGCCAGCAGGTTGAAAACACAAAACCAGACAAGCCAGTTCAAAAAAGAAGCAGGTAAAAGGACCTCGACTGGTGTTTCAAGAAGGTATCTTGGTACCTTCTAAATATTCACAACCGCTGGGTGTCTCTTTTCTTGTGTGTGCCAACGTATGTGTGTGTGTGTGTCTGTGCTTGTTTGTGTGTTTGTGTTTATGTGCATTTGTGTGTCTATTTGTGTGTGTGTGTGTGTGTTTGTGTGTTTTTGTGTGTTTGTGCGTGTGCGCGTTTGTGTTTCTTAGCTCATGATTTCGAACTGGCGACGCGACCCGTTAATGGTCGAAGATACTGAAGTTTCATCTGGCTTTGGCCTCACAATTGACAATCATGTGATTCTTCGTGGAAGCCGTGGGTGTTCCCCCAGTGTCTGTAACACAAGCAACCCTGCACAACTGTAAAACTCATCTGTGCCAAGTGGGGTCCAGAAGTTGCGGGCACAACATCGAAGGGGTATCCATGGTCTTGATGTGATTGGCCTCTTTTCTATCTCATCTGCCTTTGCTTTTGGAGCTGTGGAACCCTTGTTCGATCAGTTTTGCAAGTGACGGAGTTAAATCTGCACAACTGCTGTCCGCCCGCCGTGGATCGCCGCAGAATTCTCATCACAACTGCTCGCGCAAGACATCGGCCCGAAACTAAGGACAGCGCCCCTCTGGCCCCGATCTGACGTTGGGGTTCCATGGCTCCAGCATCACAGTAGATCGGCACTCTGGCACTGGCCATGTGGCCAGGATTGCCCACATCTGTGGCAAACCTTTGTGGCACCTTGAACTCTTTGGAGCCTTCCTCCTTTCCGGCATTTACCCTTTGTCGCCTCTACCCTGATGCTTTGAACGGGTTGCAGCGCTTGTCCCCTTGCTTCCCCCGCTCGCGTCCGTAGCTGCCGTAGTTCTTGCCTCCTTTGCAGTCCTTCTCCTTTGTCTTTCTCCTTTCTTGCAGCTGCCTTTGCTGCATCCTGCAGCTACGTCCATCGCCACTGCTCCTTGGATACTGCTTTTGCACGCCCGCCTGGAGCTTGGCAAACTGCGACGCTGCTCCTTGGCACCCTGCGATCTGAGTTGCGCAGAAGTCGCAACGTTGCCTGCTTACCGGACAAGCCGGGTCGCAACTCTCAGCAGGGACAAGCGCCCATTGGAAATCACCCCGCCCGTCCCTCTGTTCAGTCAGACAGTCAAAGGGTTCACTTTCTTTAGGCTCTGAGCAGACACTCAGCGCAGCCGCTTTCAGAATTGACTCACAAAGCGCTGCGCCTGCCACGATATCTGCATTTGGTTTTGTGAGGTCCACCAACCGAAAGTGCGCAGAGGGTTCACAACTTGAAAGTCCGGCAACTTGAAACCAACCGCAAGCGCGCAAAGGTTCACATGTTCAAGATCCGACAACTTCAAATTTGCAAGAACGACAACAAGAGTGGTTGAAGGTCTACCAGCCGAAAGTGCGCAGAGGGTTGATCTGCTATGTTTTTGGTCGGTTACGTCTTTTCACGCCTTTTCTTTGCTATGTCTCTACTCGGCTTTGCTTGCATGGCTGTCAGTTTGCACAATGTCTTTTGCTTGGCTATATGTATAGACTCGCATGCGCTGTTGTACAGTCCTCAAGTTGCGGCCTGGGCAACCGGTGACCCTGTAAGGTACCCAATGCTTCTGCTCCCAGTGATATTCGGTATCTGAGGCGTGGTAGCCTCCATGTTTCCGGCCCATTGCCCTGCATTATTTGTCTGCAAATAGTGGACGCTGGACCGTCGCACGTGTTCGGATGTAGTGTAAGTTACCGCGCCCATTGGTCTGCTGTTGCCTTGGTCTGGCGTTGCTCGTTCCAGCTGATCATCTGCCGCTGCTGGTGATGCTTGTCTGGGTGTCTCAGTAGTCTGCTGCATGCTGGGTCGTGTAGTCCAAGGTATCTGCTGTGGTAAGATCCTGGACCTATGTACTCCTTCAAGTTGCTGCTGTTGCTGCTGTTGCTGCTGTTGCTGCTGTTGCTGCTGTTGCTGCTGTTGCTGCTGTTGCTGCTGTTGCTGCTGTTGCTGCTGTTGCTGCTGTTGCTGCTGTTGCTGCTGTTAACATAGAAGCACTTTGAACTGTGCCTGCGTATCTGCATCGGCGCAGTAAATGCTGTATCCCTTTTCCTGTCTCAAGCAATGTACAGGCTCGAGGCCTTGATGTTAACATGTAGCTTTGGGCCACATGCAAGGGGTGATACCTTGAAAATGTATATGCATGTATGCATGGCATACATAATGTGAATGTGTGCGTGTGTGATGTGTGTGTCTGCATTTCTCTCTATATATGTATCACACAATACCTCGCTTCTCAACAGGTCGAAAACAAAGCCCAAGGGCAGTTCGACTCGCCGTGCCTCGGCACGCAGCCAGGGCTGGCTCCCGACAGCTGCGCAGCTGCGTGGGAAAGTATGCTGAAGTTCCATGCCACCTGAAAGTATCCAAAAGACACTTTTCCTGAGGCTAGAAGAAGCTGTGCCTTGCAGGATGTTCCTGTGCTGCAATAGGAAACTCTTCAACATGACCCAAACCAAAAGCAGTTTCCGCATGGTGTGATCAGAAATGCAGGGAAAATGTGTCAAACAAGTCTGTCAAGCAAGTGCTGCCTGAGTGTTCATGAACAAAGAAGTAGCACTGCGCCGTCTTTTCAGCCCCTTTTTGGTTGCAACACCTGTAGCTACAGTATTATGTCTGTTGCCGCGTCCTCATCTTGCAGAGCTCTGCGGCGTGCCAGCTTGACTATTCAGTACGCTATCTATCTAATGCGACAGCCCTCCTGCTTGAAGCCTGCACAGCTGCGGACCCGCCACAATTCTCTCAGCAACGATTGAAACAACGACTCGAAAAACGAACATTCACGCTGCCTGCATGTTAGGCGCACAGGCCGTTGAGCAGCATTTCGGCCCGGCGGGGGACGGAGTTGAAGAGTTGAAGCCGGGCTTACGAGCGCTGTGAAACTCGGGAGCCGCAACATCTCGTGCCCTAGACTTGCTGGTGCTCAGCAGGCAATGAGGGAATGAACCTGGGGATTCCATGAAAGGAAACCCTTGAAGGGTGGTTTATAGGGGTCATTCCCTCATTCCCTGCTGAGCACCAGACTCCCAAATGGACACTAGAAGCTGACAGCCCATGGCTCACATGGCTGCATAATGCTGCATATGTGGCCTTGCCGTGAGAAGAGTTCAACCATGTGGGTGTTTGCGAAAATGGGCTAGACCAAACAATGGTTGGGTTCCTGTGAAACGCCTGCCAAAAGGAGATCCCCAAATTGAGGACACTGACATGTGTAAGTTTGAGGAAAAGCTTCACTTGGTTTCTGTTGAGCCGTTCAGCCCAGTCTCCAGGTTCAAACCCAGTTCAGGGAACCAAGTGACATGGGATGCAGCGAAGTTGACAATTGGCCACGCCAGTCCGCACGCGCGTGTCAGTTCTTTGCCACACGCGTGTCAGCATTGCACTTCGACCAGATTCCACGAAAACCAACGGGAGTCCAGCGAAGGCTTGAGGTGGGCTTCGGGGCATCCAAAGTTGTTCTCTTCCGGCTCCAAGGTTGATTCTTCAGAGGGCATCCACTCCTAAATGGCTTTGTCTTGCCTTTGTATTGTCGGCCGATTGGAATACTAATCAACTCCAAATGCCATGGGAAAGTCCACCTCCCGAGTGCGAAAAGCGCCCACTTTTTCAGCGCTTTACACCTCAGAGATAAGGTGGCAGTGTCGTCTTCTCCTGGCAGAGGGGTCAGCTTGCAAGTCGTCGGGAAGTTGAAAGCACTTAGAGGGTGGTTGGGAGGGTCCAGTAGAAAGAGGGTGGTGACAGGTGTTGAGCGTTGAAGAGTGTTGAACAGCATTGAAGAGAGGTACGAGAGGAAGAGAATCGCGATGTTCTGACGTACAAACCCTTGCAAAAATCGCTGCAGGTATAGAAACACCATTGAGCGGAAGTCGCGTCTTTGGCAAGACACCGCAAACCTCTCTCTATTTCCCATTCACGCCTCGGGTGTTTGAGAAAGAAAAAAAAACTGCCCTGACCCCTCCGCCCTTCCTTATTTTTTTTTGCCTCCCCCGCCTGCACGAAGACATTGCCTTGGCCCGTCTTGTGCACCCTCAGGTTGTCATCCAGGTAGAGCAGCTCGAAGAAGGGCTTCGGAGGCGCTCTCCTGCCGCTCTCCGAACATCAAAAGGTCCGTGAGGTCATGAGATGATGGGGGGGAAACCAACCAAAACACGGTGTGTCCCGCCAAATGGGAAAACGTTGCCCATGGCCGTTTGGGGGGCCGAAGGGAATATTGATCAACCCCCACATGAATTATGGCAAGAGTCGAATAGTCCTCGTACACCTGGAACCTGACTTCCTGTTGGCCACCCTTCAAGCAAAAATCCAAAATGGGTCTTCAGCGCAAGTGGAAACTGCCAATCTGGCCATGGCTTAGTGGAGTGACCCGAATTCGCTGGTCGAACGAATTGGTCTCCTGCCATATCGCAACAAGTTTGTGCCCGAGTGTGCCCCCAACTGACAATTGAACATCTCAAGCTGCTGAGTTTGCCCCATGTTGGCCCATGTACTACGGTAGATGACCCTTTGATATTGTCAGTCGCTCATTCAAGTCCCGGCCCAAGCTGTTGTGCGCGCGTGCATGTTTGTGTAACGTTCAACCACAGCGCCTGGTGAAGAAAGTGATGACCCGAGTCAGCAGCGGCCCGGGCACGGGGAAGGTGAGGGTGAGCCGCCGCTTGCCCAGAGGGATGCCAAAAAACTTGGCGAGCCGAGCGCGGACGAATCCTCAGCCGACAGGACTGTCACGGAAGTACCTCTGAAAAGGTCAGGGTAAGCATTAGCGATGCTGGCCTCGACCATGTGGTTGGTCTACTTGCCATGTCTGGAGCCTCGCTGGCCTGAAAACTATACAGGCTCCCACACTTGCCACTCACATCACACATTGCGGGCCCTCAAGAACAGCCTTCGGAGCATCATTTCAGCATGCGCCCCACTCTTGAACCCCCTGCACTGCCTACACGGCCTGGTTTGCAACCGTCTCCTTCCATTGTCCAAGGCTCGTCCAACCCGCATTTTTCACCAGGGCCTTGTCCTGTACTTTGACATGGAAACTTGATTGGCGCCCTTTGGCTCACAACCTGCTGAGTCTCTGCCGTCTCGGATCCAAACCATGTTAAAGAATATCATCTGCGCTGATTGCAAAAAGAAAAAAATGGTCTGGATTACCCCGTCAGTCATTCCAGCCCCCCCCCCTACCTGCTTGGTGGAACTTCCCTCTTCTATTGCCTGTTTTTCTTTTCACAAAACCACCGGGTCTCCACCCCACTATTGCCGCCCCTCTACACACAGCCCTTTCAGTTCGAACAAGCCGCTTGGGACTGAACTATAGTCCTCCCAAAAAAAAGACTAAACAGCTTTACCACCCTTGGTGTGGCAGCAAAAAGCTTTGCTTTTGGCAGCCCCCTACTCAAAATGAACAAAACAAAACAAACTTGCCCACAGCAGTGAACACCAAGACCATAAATTGCCAGGATTGAAACTCGACCCCTCCTAAACGAATCCCGCTTCACTGGGGTGGGGGCCAAAAAAAAAACACGCGCCGCGCCGCCGGGCCGCTAAACACCAAGCCCAGGCGTTGCGGCGTCTCCGCCTCCGCCATGAGCCTCACCCGCAGGCACTCCACCGCCGGTGCCTGGCGAATCACTGGCATATGCGCGCATCAAGACGCACATGTGTGTGAAGATATCAATAGAAAAATACATACACACACATACATGATCATATATATATATATATATATCAATATAGTTGTGAATAAATGTTGTTGCTATCGTTGTCATTATCAGTACCATTGTTACAACAACCACAACAACGACGACGACGACCACGATCACAACGACAACGACAACGACAACGACAACGACAACGACAACGACAACGACAACAACAACAACAACAACAACAACAACAACAACAACAACAACAACAACAACAACAACAACAACAACAACAACAACAACAGCAGCAGCAGCAGCAGCAGCAGCAGCAGCAGCAGCAGCAGCGGCAACAACAACAACACCACCAGCAGCAGCAGCAGTAGCCGCAGCCGCGGCCGCAGCAGAAACAAGGAGGAACGCACCTCCTCCCAACCTATAGGTGCTTCATTGTTGTGAAACTTGTCTTTGGTGCTTCGCCCTCTTCACTGGATGCATTCACACTCGTCTATATGGTGTATGTATATATGTCCAAGATCCAGGTCTGCCAGCCCCCCTTCTCGCCTCCCTGCGCTCCTGTGACTCCATGATTCAGTTCAGATGTGTCGGAGGAGGTTGCCGCCGCTAGGCGACTGGAGCGCGGACACGATCATGCTCATGCGTGTAGAACATCGATGCGCAAGAAAGTGCATATGTAGGGAGGTGTGCATGCATTATTGTGTCTAAAGACATAGATATAGATATCGGCATACAGAAAAGATAATAGACAATAGAATGCTGAAAATACAATTTAGACAATAAATACGACATAATAGATAGTGGACAACAAACATAAACAATAGATATATATATATATATATGCATGTATGTATGTATGTGTGTGTGTGTATGTGTGTATGTGTGTATGTGTGTATGTGTGTATGTGTGTACGTGTGTATGTGTGTATGTGTGTATGTGTGTATGTGTGTATGTCTGTATGTGTGTATATGTATATGTATATGTATATGTATATGTATATGTATATGTATATGTATATGTATATGTGTATGTGAATATGCATATGTATATATATATATATATATATATGTATGTATGTATGTATGTATCTGTATGTATGTATGTATGTATGTATGTATGTATGTATGTATGTATGTATGTATGTATGTATGTATGTATGTATGTATGTATGTATGTATGTATGTATCTGTATGTATGTATGTATCTGTATGTATGTATGTATGTATGTATGTATGTATGTATGTATGTATGTATGTATGTATGTATGTATGTATGTATGTATGTATGTATGTATGTATGTATGTATGTATGTATGTATGTATGTATGTATGTATGTATGTATGTATGTATGTATGTATGTATGTATGTATGTATGTATGTATGTATGTATGTATGTATGTATGTATGTATGTATGTATGTATGTATGTATGTATGTATGTATGTATGTATGTATGTATGTATGTATGTATGTATGTATGTATGTATGTATGTATGTATGTATGTATGTATGTATGTATGTATGTATGTATGTATGTATGTATGTATGTATGTATGTATGTATGTATGTATGTATGTATGTATGTATGTATGTATGTATGTATGTATGTATGTATGTATGTATGTATGTATGTATGTATGTATGTATGTATGTATGTATGTATGTATGTATGTATGTATGTATGTATGTATGTATGTATGTATGTATGTATGTATGTATGTATGTATGTATGTATGTATGTATGTATGTATGTATGTATGTATGGTATGTATGTATACGTACGTTCATTTCATGTACAAATAGGTGTTTTTCTCCAGGGACACTTATACAAGCATGATTCGCAGCCTACGTGGGGTGTATGCGATTACCGCGCGAGAACCTTTGGGCCTTGCTATCGTCCGTGAAGTCGATACAGTTGGTGACGGTGCCGGCCACGGCATCGACCACGTTGCACACCTGGCGCTTCCTCAGCCCACTTGGGCTACGCTTGGGCTTGTCTGTCAGCAATGAGCCAAAGCCATCCTCAAGCGCAAACAATGGCGTCAGCAAGCTTCAGAGCCAGCCACATCATGATTCCTGATCACATCCCATTTCTTCAGACTCACGATTTCCAGCCGGCTCCTTGGCCTTTTCGGGATGTTCAATCAGCTCATGCCCAATGGGACCTCCATCTCCCTGGTCTCCCCGAATTCCGGGAGCGGCGCCCGGGCGGCGCCGCGGCTGGAGTTCTTGGTGAAGGTGGCGTCCGCCGCCGTGGTGAAGAGCAGCCGCCAGGCCCCGTGCAGAGGGCAAGCCTTGCCTTCCGCGGTGCCGAACCTCGCGCGGTCGAAGGCGGGTGGCGGGTTCGGCGCTGCCAGGTCAACCGGATTTCCCATCGCTAGCTCTGAGAGGAGACGAGGGCGACCAGAGCCGGAATAAAGAGAAGGAAGAAGAAGCGAAAACAGAAGAGAAAAGAACAACCAGCAAACGAACAACCGGAGAGAGTAAGAAAGAATGAGAGAAATAATTCAAGAAAGAAAGAAAGAAATACGGATAGATAGAAAGACAGAAACAAATAGAAATAGACAAACCGAAACATAAAAAGGCTGAAAAACGAAAGAAGCAATAAAGAAAGAAAGCAATAAAGAAAGAAAGAAAGAAAGAAAGAAAGAAAGAAAGAAAGAAAGAAGGGAGAGAAAGAGAGAAAGAGAGAAAGAGAGAGAAAGAGAGAAAGAGAGAAAGAGAGAAAGAGAGAAAGAGAGAAAGAGAGAAAGAGAGAAAGAGAGAAAGAGAGAAAGAGAGAAAGAGAGAAAGAGAGAAAGAGAGAAAGAGAGAAAGAGAGAAAGAGAGAAAGAGAGAAAGAGAGAAAGAGAGAAAGAGAGAAAGAGAGAAAGCGACAGAGAAAGCGACAAGTAGGAGAAGTAGATGAGCCCAAAAAACAGAAAAAGCCTCCGTTTAGAACAGACCAAGAAGGGGTACCCTCAAAGAGAGACAAACCGCACCCTAAGTTGCTGCAAATATTGATGCATGCTAGCCGAATCTACCGAATCTAAAGATTGGGATCCGGACCCCAGCCCTTCCCACCAAATCCCAAGCAAACGAGCCCCACATTTCCCACGTGGGAGCGTCTTTTTCTGGAGGGACCCCCCCCCCCAATTTATTCTTCTTATGGCTTTCAATCAACAAGCCATCTTGCGTGTCCCAAGAAAAAATGAGACCCCCCCAAAAAAAGACATCCGTGTCTTATGGCTTTCAATCAACAAGCCGTCCTGCGTGTCCCCCGAAAAAATGAGACCCCCAAAAAAAAGTCTGTCTTGTGGCTTTCAATCAAAGCCCATCTTGCGGGGGTCCCCCGAAAAAAGGAGACCCCCCCCCAAAAAAATGTCTTGTGGCTTTCAAGCAAACGCCGTCTCGCGGGCTTGCCACCCCAAAAAAAAAGAAACGGGGGGAGACTCTGCGGTACTCCGTGGCCCCCCGCTTCTCCAGGGGCTTCTCCAGGGGCGTCAGCTTCGCCAGGCGCTCGGCGTCCTCCACCACCTGACGGTTTGGGATACAGCGGTGGCCCCTTCTAACATCCCGGTCTCAGCTCAAACCCAAAGTTTGGGGGGTGTTTTTGTTCATTTCCCCTCAAGAAGCGGTTTGGCTTGGTAGTAGTTGCCCCGTTCCAAATAACAGTCTGGTGGTTTTCCGTTTACGCAAAAAAGAACCAGGAAATCCAAACCACCAATCCAAACCACCGAAAAGGGGGTACCTGATCAAACTCAAAGTTGGGAAAAACAGATCAGATCTCGACTTTGTGAACCAGAAATGCATCACACAAGTGACAGCCTCTGCTTCCGCAAAGTCGTGCGGGTCTAATCAAATGTGCAGCTCCGTTTTGCGTGGCAGGCGAGTGATGGTCAATGACCACCCTCCTTTTTTGTCAAGTACTTTACATGCTTCTGAGGGTGGCAATGCGACCACGCAAAGAGTTGTGTTCTGTGAGAAGGCCAAAGAAGCGCAACGTTTGCCGTGGCAGCGCATACTGCCGGTAATTGCCTGAGTCCTGAAGCATGTTGCTGGCTGGGTGTGGCCCAGCAAAGTGACACTCTCAGTATCAGGTTTGAATGACATTAACCTTCAAAAGAGAACCTACCCAAATCCTGACTGTTTTGGAATGGCTTTAAGTAGGTCTTGCCATGGCGTTGAAAGGGACTGATCTCATAGACTTTCGTGTCGCAGCTACGATGGCCATCACCTCCTTGTATTGAACATGCAAGTAGAGCGCGAATTCTTCATGAACTCTCACCTAGTAGTAAGTGAAAACATCCTTGAACTCTCCTTCATTGTTTCTGTCCTGCCCCCCCCTCCCCCCTCTTTTTCTTGCTGGTGCTCAGCAGGGAATGCGAAATGGAATGCCCCCTTTTTTTCAACCATCCAACTGGTGGTTTCCTTTATTTGGGACTCCCCCGAGTTCATTCCAACTCATTCCCCGAGCACCAGCCAGTCTTTGGGCAACGCCCCAGGAACGGTCACTCAGGCAGGAACATCCTTCTCCCTCTTTCTTCGTTTCTGTCTTACTCCCCCCCTCCCCCTCCCCTCCCCCCGGTACCACCCGGCCAGCGCCCGTCCCTCCGTCCCTCGCCTTCTCGGCGCAGTCCCCCAAGCCGGCGGAGGCGCGGTGGAAGGCCCCGGAGCTTAGCAGATTCGCGGGCGCCCGGTCCTTCTTGTCCAGCTCCCCGCCTCGCACGTGGGAAGCGCGCCTTTAACGCGAAAGCACGAGAGGAAGGGTTTCCCGGGGTAAAACGCCACGGGGCAAAAAAAACAAAACACTGCGGGGTAGGTGTCTCGTTTGGGGATCGGACCCTATTAAAAAAGGTGCCCCGGAAAAAATGGACACCCCCATATTGTTTGGGACACCTATGGTTCTCACAATCTTCTTTGGGTTCCCCTGAAAGCGGGTGTTGGGTGGCCAAACCCTACACATACAAAATCAATAAACTCTGCTACTGGGGAAGATTTGGGGGTCCCCCTATGGTCGGTACATGCAAAAGAATGACTTTGGCAATGTAAGCAAAAAATGGGTACCGAGGGCACAAACCAGGAGCAGCATACCACGGTTGTCTTTGTCGCTTCTGTTTTCCATCTGTCAGGAAGAAAAAAACAACTATGCACTTGTGTGTGTGTGTGTGTGTGGTGTGTGTGTGTGTCTTTGTGTCTTTGTACGTACGACGTATGTAGCCATGTATCTATGTATCGATTTACTTGTGTATCTGTGTATCTATGTATAGATGTATCTATGTATCGATGTATCTATATATCTACGTATCGATGCATCTAAGTATCTATGTATCTATCTGTCTGCGTGTCTGAATATGTCTATGTATCTATGTATCGATGTATCTATGTATCTATATATTTATGTATCTATGTATCTATGTTGATATGTATCTATGTATCTATGTATCTATGTATCTATGTAACTATGCATCTATGTAGCTATGTAGATATGTATCTATGTATTTATGTGTCTCTGTATCTATGCATCTATCTATGTATGCATGCATGCATGCATTGCAGGTATGTATGCATGGAGGGATGGATCGATGGACGGCTGTATGGATGTATGGATGTATGGATGTATGGATATATGGTTGTATGGGTGGATGTAGGGACGTAGGTAGGTAGATAGGAAGGAAGGAATGAAGGAGGGAACTAGCGAACTGTCTCTGTCTCTGTCTCTGTCTCTGTCTCTGTCTCTGCTTCTGTCTGTCTGTCTGTCTGTCTGTCTGTCTGTCTGTCTGTCTGTCTGTCTTTCTGTCTGTCTGTCTGTCGGTCGGTCGGTCGGTCGGTCTGCCTGTCTGTCTGTCTGTCTGTCTGTCTGTCTGCTGTCCGCTGTGTGTCCGTCTGTCTTTCTGTCTGTCTGTCTGTCTGTCTGTCTGTCTCTGTCTGTCTGTCTGTCTGTCTCTCTGTCTGTCTTTCTGCCTGCCTGTGTGTCTTTCTGCCTGTCTGTCTGTCTTTCTGTCTGTCTGAATGTCTGTCTGTTTGCATGTCTGATGGGCTGTATGTCTGTATGTTTGCACATACGCATGTACGTACGTACGAATGTGCGTAGCACGTATGTATTCATGTACGCATGTACGCATGTATGTACACGTGTGTATGTACATCATATGTATTTGTGTATCAATGTATGTATGTGGGGTCATGTGTGTCGGCTACGGGACAATGACAGAGAAGATGATTTTCGGGGGTCCCCTTGTATTTTCCCTTCAACACAAGCCCAGAGAAGCGAAACGTGTCGACCAGCGCCATGACGGTGACAGAACTCAAACAGTCCATGGTAGTGGACGGAACCTGCCTGATGAAGTGTTGAGCCACGGCAGTAGTCTATGGCAATGTTGACCACGGACCAATAAACCCCAGTTTATTCATATAGGGTGTGTCCCTGGTTTTGGTGGGGATTCAGACCACTTTAGGGGAACACCCCCATATCAACAAATAGGTTGGTTCGTCAATCCGGGGTCCTCTTTTGCCTCGTTTTGCCTCTCACCTGTGGCTTCGCTGCCCGCCTTTCACCCCGAAGTCGATGGAGAGGTCGGAGGTGCGATTCAGCGCCCCCTGGAAGGCCTCGATGGACCCCAGCAGCTGCCTCTTCGCCGCCTCGAGCGAAGCGAAACCCCGTGGAGGCCCAAGTAATACGGATCTTTGCCCTGGGCTCGTACGCCCGGATCGGCGAGCTCGTCAAAATTGCGCAGAACCATGGATCCAGCAGGTGGGCTTTCTCATGTGTGGAGGCTGGCACTTGGAGCGCGTCTTCTCTTTCCGCACGCCTCCTGGAGAAATTGCGCCTATTCAGTCCGAACGACCTACTACACGAATGAATTTATCGGCGAATCCTGTTGGAAGAATGCCCTGGCGTCTGGTGTGTGCAGGTGCCAACCTGGCACGGGTTCAGGAACTGGTGGGCAACCGTGGGGGTTGTGAGCAGGAGGAAACCCTCAACAAGTCACGACGCACTCCAGCAAAGGCAAAATCGCCCGACACGCCGCGACAACGGTACTGACAATGGAGAACGTTCTAAAATTCACCAGGGCACTACCCCATAATTGAAAGGGCATCCGGGCTTGACTTGGACGCCACATTCTCCAATGCGCAGTACCATGTCGATGTTCAAAATCGAGCCATCTCATAGCTCCAGGCTGGCGACTTGAAACGGCAAAGCAAACAAAGCACCTGGTCTGCATATCAATACATGGAACAGCCCCCCAAATGGCATGCAGTCTCTGAAAAAGTTTGAAGCTTCCAATCATGTTGTAAGATACAGACAAAAACAAAAATAAAAATCGCACCCGTTCGAACATATCTCTCCACCTTCCTGAGAGTCAGAAGCTGAAACCCAGCCGAACTATGGAACAGTCTTGCGCGCAAGCTTCCAAACCAACAAAATAGAAAGTGCAGCCAACCTGTGAAAGAAAACGAAAAACGCAGCCCTGCTCGATGTGGCTGTGGGTCAAAAATAGGTACCCAAAATAGACCCAGGTAAGTGGCAACATGGACCAAAACCTGTGGTCCAATTCCTGGTGGATTAATTTTGACCCACACCCATGTGCTAAACATGTCCTCCCCACTTTTGTCCACAACACGACCTTCTTTTCCGCGCCTCGCGCTCTGAAAGGGAAGCCGCCAGGCAGCATTGCGGCCGGACTCGCGTGCGATGCTTCCACTGAGAACACCCCCAGCTTTAAGGGAATAGGTATGTCTTTTTGTTGCGAAGATGTACTTTTTAGCTTCCTATCTCTTGAAGCTGTCGAGCATTTTTATTGTGCTGTCTTTGGAGGCCTCTTTTGGGGTCACCATTTTGCCCACCCCCGTTGCAACTTCTCCACGAGATGCAATCCTCGAGATGCCACCTGCTCTCCCCCGTTAATGTGTGTCTGACCCTTGTTGGAATGGCTTTAAAAGGAAAGCCACCAAGTTTGAGGGTCTTTCAAACCAATGTCTTACCATGTCCCTTGAGTGGAAGAAAACAACCCTTTGCTATTGACTGATCCATCTCCGGAAGCTGGAAGGGAAAGCATCCAGTCCTCGGTTTGCCAAAAACATCACTGTGATAGATTCCCGCGAGCTCGTCAATCAAAAAGGGGTATCACAAGTAACCTGCTCCACGCCGACTCGCCTTGCGATCGTCCCAAAGGAAACCCGGCAAAGCTCAGAGGGTAGCAAAGGCTCGCCTCGCGAGAGGCCACGAGCAGTCCAGACCCAAAAGCTGGGAGCTGGCATGTGACCTGGATTCCACACCAGCCTATGCCCTCAAACAGGTGGCTGCCTCCAAACAAAACGAAATTGAAGAAACAGCAACATGCGCAGGATCATTTCAGCCCAAGATAGAAACTATATTCTTGCTACTTGCACAACCAAATCGTTGGGCTTTGGGATTCCGACGGCAAAACGCCCAGAAAGAAAACTCGATTGCGATACCAGCAAATTGATCAACTGTTGTTTTGGGGAAATCCAGGCAGCCGATATATCACCACACTGGGGAGAAGCACATAGCCCAGGACAGCGCTCGATGCCACGAAATGCTGAGGGAACCCTCCTAAAAGCAACACATGACCCTGCGCGTGTTCAACCAGCGGGTCCCCTTGCATTTTCGAATCGCTCGATGTCAAAGTAAGGACCCCTCCAATGGTTGGATCCCCTTTGGCTTCCTTTGAATGTCCAACTGGTTGGTTTCCAAACAATTGGCTATCCTCTCTTGCTGCTTCCCCTCTGGTTGGTCTGCCCCTGGTTTCCAACCCGTTGACACATGGTCGCCCATTGCTGGCCCAGTGTCGAAACCCAGCAGCACTCCGAATCGCCGCCGGTGCCGCATGGCCAGCAAGAATTCTGGAATTGGCTGGATGCTGAAAGGAAAACCAAACTGCGGCTCCCCTACTTCAAGAAACCAAGCGACCCCTACAAAAACCGTGAGGGTAGCCTTGGAATCCCAGAGAGAGAGAGAGAGAGAGAGAGAGAGAGAGAGAGAGAGAGAGAGAGAGAGAGAGAGAGAGAGGCAGAGAGAGAGAGAGAGAGGGAGAGAGGGAGAGCAACTGCCCAAAAAAGTGAAAGCAACCAAATCAAGTGTGCAGGGACTCGCGGGAAAGCTTCCAAAGCCGGGGCATGTTTTCTCAGCTGATCTTCTCCATGCTGGTGTCAAATGGCGCGGCTGCTCCGTTCCTTCTTCCCACATGCTATGCTCAAATTCACGGGCTACGTTGCTTTCCCCTACATGAGTCATCTGGATGCCCGGCAGATCTCAACCTTGAGCCGTTCAAGATCACCAGACCTACAACTGCCTTGGCCGTCTGAGCCAAGAAGCTGCAAGGCCGTCAGCCAGCTAAACTAAGTCTCAACAGTCTCGTGTCATGCGCAAGGGCCGCCAAAGTAACGTACTTCGAGTCACGTGACCTACCCACTTCAGTGAACATACAATTGCGCGAGTACCTACCTCGTAATTCGCTGGCAAACCTCAAAGCAAATCATGCAAAGGCTCGCGTTTTGCCAAAAACTCCGTTTGCAATGCTGCGATAGAGCAGATTCATGTGAGGAAAACATTGTGAGACAAGATTTTGGATGCGTCAAGTGAGCATCCGTGTGCCTCTCAACTGGATTATTTCTCACCGAAGAAGAAATAGGGCAAGAAGTTCGCCACGTACTCATCAAACTCATCCTCGGGAGGCAGCAGCACGGACTGGTTGTCAATGAGCAACAGAAGCAGGTAGAAAAGGAAAAGCAGCACAATGCCCATAAGCATCACAAGGACGGTCGGGATGCTGTCCTCCTTGGCCACCACACCTGCCTCAGCATTCAATGGCTTCAACAGGTCCGAAAGCCCCGTGCGGATGCCATAGCCCTTGGGCAGAGGATCGCGCTCGCCATAAGGGGCTGTCTGCTTCGCGTTGCCGACCGGGAAATACCCAGCCCTCATGGCCACCGACGTCTCGCGTTCGGTGGCCGGGGCATTCACGAAGCACGTGCTCAAAGCCCACAAGCAGAGGCTGCCAATAAGCGCTACGACAACAGACCTCGCCAAGAGCAAATCTGCAAGTGGGGACAACTCAAGGGGCATGAGAAGTAAAACAGGAAAACAAGCTCAATAGGAGGCTGCCTCAAAATTGTTGGGCTGAAATTACCATAGAATCCTTAGAAGCGTTGAATGATGCCAAGCAGCGAGCGAGCCATTGTCCCCTTCGGTGCCCGACCAGATTCGGGACACTGTTGTGGCGCTTGGACCAAATGCTTCAGCACGCACGCTACAGCTGTTGCAGCTTTTTGCAGGCTGCAAAGCGAACCGATTCAAGGGCATTACTTGAAGAGCAGCCTGCTGACCAAACAAGTGCATATTCCTCAACAATGTGGCAAAGCAGCTGCTTTCACCTCTCCAACTGATAGCACGGCCATGGAATCTTGGCATCTTCCACTTTTTCTCCTACTTGATGCCTTTTTCAGAGGGGAGTGCAATCTCTTTCTGATGGCATCCCCTCCTTGATCTGTGGAAAACAGAGCTTCAACTCAAATTCTCAGTCTCCACAAGATGCAAAAACTACATTCCTCTCACTTCTCACCGAAGAAGAAATAGGGCAAGAAGTTCGCCACGTACTCATCAAACTCATCCTCAGCAAACAGCAGCGCGGACTGCTGGTCAATGAGCACCAAAAGCAGGTAGAGAATGAAAAGCAGCATCGCAAGGAGGGGCGAAACGTTGTCCTTGGCCACCACACCTGCCTCAGCATTCAATGGCTTCAACAGGTCCGAAAGCCCCGTGCGGATGCCATAGCCCTTGGGCAGAGGATCGCGCTCGCCATAAGGGGCTGCCCTCATGGCCACCGACGTCTCGCGTTCGGTGGCCGGGGCATTCACGAAGCACGTGCTCAAAGCCCACAAGCAGAGGCTGCCAATAAGCGCTACGACAACAGACCTCGCCAAGAGCAAATCTGCAAGTGGGGACAACTCAAGGGGCATGAGAAGTAAAACAGGAAAACAAGCTCAATAGGAGGCTGCCTCAAAATTGTTGGGCTGAAATTTCCATAGAATCCTTAGAAGCGTTGAATGATGCCAAGCAGCGAGCGAGCCATTGTCCCCTTCGGTGCCCGACCAGATTCGGGACACTGTTGTAGCGCTTGGACCAAATGCTTCAGCACGCACGCTACAGCTGTTGCAGCTTTTTGCAGGCTGCAAAGCGAACCGATTCAAGGGCATTACTTGAAGAGCAGCCTGCAATCAATGACATGAATGCAAACAAGCAGTGTTGTCAAGGAGTCCCATCCATGATCGCAAACGACACTGACCAAACAAGTGCATATTCCTCAACAATGTGGCAAAGCAGCTGCTTTCACCTCTCCAACTGATAGCACGGCCATGGAATCTTGGCATCTTCCACTTTTTCTCCTACTTGATGCCTTTTTCAGAGGGGAGTGCAATCTCTTTCTGATGGCATCCCCTCCTTGATCTGTGGAAAACAGAGCTTCAACTCAAATTCTCAGTCTCCACAAGATGCAAAAACTACATTCCTCTCACTTCTCACCGAAGAAGAAATAGGGCAAGAAGTTCGCCACGTACTCATCAAACTCATCCTCAGGAGGCAGCAGCACGGACTGGTTGTCAATGAGCAACAGAAGCAGGTAGAAAAGGAAAAGCAGCACAATGCCCATAAGCATCACAAGGACGGTCGGGATGCTGTCCTCCTTGGCCACCACACCTGCCTCAGCATTCAATGGCTTCAACAGGTCCGAAAGCCCCGTGCGGATGCCATAGCCCTTGGGCAGAGGATCGCGCTCGCCATAAGGGGCTGTCTGCTTCGCGTTGCCGACCGGGAAATACCCAGCCCTCATGGCCACCGACGTCTCGCGTTCGGTGGCCGGGGCATTCACGAAGCACGTGCTCAAAGCCCACAAGCAGAGGCTGCCAATAAGCGCTACGACAACAGACCTCGCCAAGAGCAAATCTGCAAGTGGGGACAACTCAAGGGGCATGAGAAGTAAAACAGGAAAACAAGCTCAATAGGAGGCTGCCTCAAAATTGTTGGGCTGAAACTTCCATAGAATCCTTAGAAGCGTTGAATGATGCCAAGCAGCGAGCGAGCCATTGTCCCCTTCGGTGCCCGACCAGATTCGGGACACTGTTGTAGCGCTTGGACCAAATGCTTCAGCACGCACGCTACAGCTGTTGCAGCTTTTTGCAGGCTGCAAAGCGAACCGATTCAAGGGCATTACTTGAAGAGCAGCCTGCAATCAATGACATGAATGCAAACGAGCAGTGTTGTCAGGGAGTCCCATCCATGATCGCAAACGACACTGACCAAACAAGTGCATATTCCTCAACAATGTGGCAAAGCAGCTGCTTTCACCTCTCCAACTGATAGCACGGCCATGGAATCTTGGCATCTTCCACTTTTTCTCCTACTTGATGCCTTTTTCAGAGGCGAGTGCAATCTCTTTCTGATGGCATCCCCTCCTTGATCTGTGGAAAACAGAGCTTCAACTCAAATTCTCAGTCTCCACAAGATGCAAAAACTACATTCCTCTCACTTCTCACCGAAGAAGAAATAGGGCAAGAAGTTCGCCACGTACTCATCAAACTCATCCTCAGGAGGCAGCAGCACGGACTGGTTGTCAATGAGCAACAGAAGCAGGTAGAAAAGGAAAAGCAGCACAATGCCCATAAGCATCACAAGGACGGTCGGGATGCTGTCCTCCTTGGCCACCACACCTGCCTCAGCATTCAATGGCTTCAACAGGTCCGAAAGCCCCGTGCGGATGCCATAGCCCTTGGGCAGAGGATCGCGCTCGCCATAAGGGGCTGTCTGCTTCGCGTTGCCGACCGGGAAATACCCAGCCCTCATGGCCACCGACGTCTCGCGTTCGGTGGCCGGGGCATTCACGAAGCACGTGCTCAAAGCCCACAAGCAGAGGCTGCCAATAAGCGCTACGACAACAGACCTCGCCAAGAGCAAATCTGCAAGTGGGGACAACTCAAGGGGCATGAGAGGTAAAACAGGAAAACAAGCTCAATAGGAGGCTGCCTCAAAATTGTTGGGCTGAAATTACCATAGAATCCTTAGAAGCGTTGAATGATGCCAAGCAGCGAGCGAGCCATTGTCCCTTTCGGTGCCCGACCAAATTCGGGACACTTGTGTGGCGCTTGGACCAACATGCTGCAGTGGCACAGTTTCAGCTGCAAAGAGAAACGTTCGAGAGGCATTAATTCAAAACGTCAATCAAATGGTCAGGCAGTTGTTCTTCACTTGGCGACTCAAATGTTGCATTGTAAGCTTACAGTTCAATCTCCATTTTGATAACAACAGTTCTACCTCTGCCGGCAACGTTCCGGTAAAATCCAGTCACAACATGACATTGTGCGTGCGATGTTCCTTAGTTACACATTTCAGTTTTCCTCTAGTGGCTGGGGTTCATTTGGAGGAGGTTCGGGGTGGTTTCCCATTTACCCTCCACAAAAGCCAGGTTCATCCAAATCCAAACAACCAATCCAAACCACCTCAGCCTTGAGCCATCCCAAGAATTATGTGCATGATGTTGCCTGGTCCCAAGGAGAAATCATGGATATGCACATCACACCCTGGGCCTTGCCAGATTTATTTTCCTTGAGAGGGCAAGCCTCGAAAACTCGGCTTTTATGTAGCACTTTAAAATGTGTGTATTGGGGGCACCCAAAAATAGCTGCTGGCATATACAGCCCCCCCACGGCATACTAAAGCTGGACATTGTCCATCGCCGCTGTGTCCTATACACAGGTGTCAAGCGTCCGGCAATGCTATGTGAACATATCAACCTGGTGGTTGATAGAGAGTTACATAGCTGGCGAGCATGTTGCCACAGTGTGCAACACAAGCATTTGGCAGGGCAGGATACTTTGAAGAGCCGAAACCATGTTGGTTTTGTTTGCACAACACCAAAACATTCATGTGGCAGCCAAGCAACCTGCTTGCTCATCATGAACGTTTGAAGCCTCCTGCCCTCCTGCTGCAAAACGCTGTCGGAATCACTGCGCCCACACAAAAGGTTGACATCAAGACCACACACGGCAAGCGAAAATGCACACAACTTTAAGAACGTGAGCCGAACAAAACCTGCGCAACCTAGTTCACAGAACAAGTATCCAAGCTAGCCAAAGCTGGCGAAACACTTCTGCTAATATATTGCATTTCATAACAAGTACAAGCTCCGTACAAAGATGCAAATCCGACTCATTCCTTTTCTCAGCGCAAAAGATGGGAAAAACGTTCACGGTCAAATGCGATGCAATCGTGCGAACACAGCGTACAGGCATTGAGGCTGCCACGCGGGGGACACGAAAACAAGGCTCATGCCTGGAAGGGAAGGGATCTTTTTCTGGAGTGCACTCTGACAAAATGTCTGCACACTGTTGAAATTTCATCACTCAAGAGATTACGTTGGTTGCACATCTTGGTGACACACAAAAAAAGCAAATTGGCTTATAAACCGCTTTCACTGCGTGATGGCTAACTTAGGAACGTGAGCCGAACAAACCTGCGCAACCTAGTTCACAGAACAAGTATCCAAGCTAGCCAAAGTTGGCGAAACACTTCTGCTAATATATTGCATTTCATAACAAGTACAAGCTCCGTACAAAGATGCAAATCCGACTCATTCCTTTTCTCAGCGCAAAAGATGGGAAAAACGTTCACGGTCAAATGCGATGCAATCGTGCGAACACAGCGTACAGGCATTGAGGCTGCCACACGGGGGACACGAAAACAAGGCTCGTGCCTGGAAGGGAAGGGATCTTTTTCTGGAGTGCACTCTGACAAAATGTCTGCACACTGTTGAAATTTCATCACTCAAGAGATTACGTTGGTTGCACATCTTGGTGACACACAAAAAAAGCAAATTGGCTTATAAACCGCTTTCACTGCGTGATGGCTAACTTAGAAACGTGAGCCGAACAAGCCTGCGCAACCTAGTCCACAGAACAAGTATCCAAGCTAGCCAAAGTTGGCGAAACACTTCTGCTAATTTATTGCATTTCATAACAAGTACAAGCTCCGTACAAAGATGCAAATCCGACTCATTCCTTTTCTCAGCGCAAAAGATGGGAAAAACGTTCACGGTCAAATGCGATGCAATCGTGCGAACACAGCGTACAGGCATTGAGGCTGCCACGCGGGGGACACGAAAACAAGGCTCATGCCTGGAAGGGAAGGGATCTTTTTCTGGAGTGCACTCTGACAAAATGTCTGCACACTGTTGAATTTCATCACTCAAGAGATTACGTTGGTTGCACATCTTGGTGACACACAAAAAAAGCAAATTGGCTTATAAACCGCTTTCACTGCGTGATGGCTAACTTAGGAACTTGAGCCAAACAATCCTGCGCAACTAAGTTCACAGAACAAGTGTCCAAGCTAGCCAAAGTTGGAGAGCGGGAATACTGATGAGACTCAGTCATCCGGTGCAGCACTTGCCAAGAAGCGACGCCTTGCATGAGTCGCAACTCAAAAAAAATGCATGAGCCTTCTTGCTTTGGTGTGCCCTGTGTGGCAGCCTCAATACCTGTACGCTGTGTTCGCATGATTGCATCGCATTTGACCGTGAATGTTTTCCCATCTTTTGCGCTGAGAAAAGGAATGAGTCGCATTTGCATCTTTGTACAGAACTTATACTGGTTATGATGTGGAGTATATTGGCAGAAGTGTGTCGCTTAGTCCACAAGGCTTCTTTTGAGAGAGGGTGCTTACCAAATTGAGCATGTCCAGGAGATCCACGATGCTCTTGAACACAAGACACAAGTCAGTCGCAAGCACCAGAAGGTCCATCGGCCACATTTGCTTCTGATGGCACACAGGTATACCAAGGTAGCAACTGCGCTGCATCTTCGAGGCTCAAACAAGCGTTCAGCAATGGCCTGGCATCCAGCGATTTTATTTTGCAACTGATCAGATTCTCACGGACGCCATTATTATCAAAAAAAGTTACATGACACCCCGAAATGAAGGGCCTCCACTGAACAATAAAATCAGATTTGTTGCTCCGAACGGCCACTTGCGATCACGCGGGTCCGCAGTTTCTCCCAAGACACTGGAGAGATGAGCTAGACAGCAACTGCAGGTCTGATCACACCACAGGACACGTTGCAAGAGCTTTTTTGAGCGTATCCGCCGAGTAACGTCACATGAATCCGAGCCGCCCCAACCAGTGGCTGTCAGCGCTTGGCCAACTCGGCCAAACCGGCACCCTGAACAATGGAACTCACAACCGTCGGCATCTCCAATTCAAAAGGTGCAAGTCGCTTTAAGCACAAGGCCCAAAATACGCAAAGATATTTTGCGGTCACTGTTTCTTGCGGCAGTCTTTCGCCTGGGGTTGGCGTGTCTTGCTCTAGGTTGGACCGCCCTTCTTTGATGATTTTCGTGCTCAGCGCCGAAAGCTTGTCTAAGACATTGTGAGACTTTCTTCAGAATGTTTGGATGGAACTGTCGAAGGACGAGAGCAAGTCGGTAGACTTTGCACAAGGCTTCAGTTGCAAAGGGCGCTTGGTCTTGAACGAACCCCGCAAGGCATCCTCTGCGAAAAACACAGCTTGTCAGACAAGCAAATTCGTCAGGTTTTTGTCAAACGCATTTTTTGATGCAGTGCAAAAGATGCCGCAAACAAACACATGTTGAAGAAACAAAACAAACAAAAAGAAAACACACTTCGACACCAGGAAGCCACAAGTGCTGAACAGGGAAACCATCAACCGTAGCAACTTGAACATAGTCAAGTGCAGCGCCGATGAAAAAAAACATCAACGGGAAATACGGAACAACACAGAAAAAACAACGCATCGACACTGCCCGTCACGCAAGAAAGTCCGCAGAAAGAACCGTGGCTTTGTGTCTTCACAAGCAGAAGAAGGTAACGCATGGCAAAAGCGTGGTCTCAACCGGAAAGCAATATGAAGAGGCAGGCCGCAAGGGTTCGAAAGCGCGGATCATAAGTCCCAGTGAAACACTTGCGAAGAATTCTTTCCCTGGCCTGAGCACTTCGTTTGCACAAGTGCAATTTGGCATTGATCTTATGGCAATATTCACCACGGATCATTTGCGCAAAAACAGCGGACTGGCAAAATCGCAACCACTGGCCCGTGAGAAGGAGCATCATTGACTCCGATGTGTTTGTTTCTGTATTCATTATATTTCTTGTTCGACGAGACCTCTGGGAGGTACAACACTTGTTGTCTGCTTAGGTGTTGTGGATGGTAAAGAGATTCGCTGTCTCAGAACTTGCTCGTCTCCACGCTGACAAACATTTGAGCAGCGCAAGGGGTATGTGCAGGTTATCGGACCGCGAAGATCTGGCGTACTGATATTCGGTGCTATTTAGAGAATTTCCTTGGGTAGTGCACAGTTATTTGCTGCTTCATTTGCTTTGCAGACGTTGGAGTCGGGCTGCACGTTTTCCGTACAGAGCGGCTGGCGCGGTGTCGGGATTAGGGCATTTGTCTCACCTGAATTCAGTTTTTCACCTTTGTGGTGGTGTTGGCCATTCTCTTCGCACTAATTTCATGTCGCTTACCAGTGGGCTCACCTTTCTCGGTTCTTTTACATCTGCTGCGGTTCCGTTTCGCGACCATGTCATGCGTTATCTTTTTCTGGCTTGTTGAGACACTCGTTTCCAAGTCCGCTTTGCTCTCTGCGTAGATAGATTTTTGCGTGACAGGCAGCTCTGCCAGCGCCGTCAGTGAGCTGTTTGCTCCCATCTTTTCCAGCCCCGCTGGGTTTCCGTCTGCATCCGTCCAAAAGGCCAGTACAAGACTCCCATGAGTGGCCCTCCCCTTCAGAGTCCTTGGTAGGATGTGCAATGGCGGTGGTCGCAGGTGGTGCTCACTGAGCTAGGAGAGCCATGCAGTACCAAGCCCCGCTTGGTCTCGTGGCGTCTCGCTACCGTGCCTCACCCAATTGGGGCATCGCTCTCTCCTTCGTGTCTCGATTTTACTCTGGACATAAGCAGCGAGTTGTGACAG